TGAAAAGTCTGGAATGTGCCGTTGGATGCCCGACCCACGAAATAATGAAGCCCATTGGCGAATTGAGCATTCAAAAACTAAACAAGGTTCAATGAACGGAATTCTTTGTATGTCTTTATCTACACTTCAAAGGGATGCTGAAAAACTTGAAAATTTGGTTCCATTTGAAATTGATACTAGTTCTTCAGATTTTTTTACTGCTCGACTTTGGAGTGATAAATTTCATCGTCAGAAATCACATGTAGATTATCGGTGCTTGACTTTATCTTATATAATTGAGGGTAAGAACAGGAAGACAACAAAACCAACCACGATAAATTACAGTCAACATATTCCTCAGCTCACTCTTCTTCGACATTCTTCAGGGTAAGGTGATTATCATCCGACGATTTCGTTTTTGGTTTGTTCGAAGTGTCATGTGTTCTACTCATTATTCTTGAGTATCAGCCTTTGGATCTCATCATCGATGAAGGGTTCTGTTGTTGTGTTGTATCAGAAATCTTGTCCGTCAACCTATGATGTAATCGTTATTCGTTCATGTGCTTACACCTTTGTCATTTGCGTGCAACGACACCATTCAACTAATGGTGGATAAAAGAAAATTTTGTTTAAACATAGAGATTCATCATATTGAGTGACAGGATCCGACGTTCTACCTTTCATGATGGGATTTCAACTTGTTCTATTAGTCTTATGGGATTGATTCACTTCATAGTATTCGTCCATGTTTTGTGCGATAAAGCGAAATCCTGAAGCAAGCATTATCAATTTCATTCTCCACTGTAACTTCTTAAATTTTCATTTATAATTTGTTGAGTAATTTGGACAGTGATCATCTATCTACTATGCGTGTTTCTGTTACTATTAATAAATTTTTATTGTTCTATATTACTAATAATGCGTTTAAGTATATTGATAATCTATGCTTTTTGATACAGAAGGTGAGCTGTATCAGAAATCATTCTCTAAAATATATATATATATATATATATATATATATCCATGTATATATAATTGATATAATTATTGGTATTATTAGTTCTTATTCTCTTTTCTTTAATGTTTTCCTTCCATTTTCAATATTCCAATATTCAATCATTTTATTCTTCATCTATGTTGAATGATTGTCGTTGTTTTGTTTTGTGTTTCCAAATTATTGATTCATTAGTTGTAGTTAAGTATGATTCACACATCTTTTCTAGGTTATCTAAGGTATAGGGATTTATATCATGTTTCATTCTATTTCACGTTCATTAGGCTTATTCTTTAATCTTTAGATTATTCTATACTTTATTGATATAATGTATGTCGTTTTATGATGCTCTCTTCATATTCATTCTGTATGTGTATGTATTGGTGGCGATGTATGTATAGTCATGTGTGTAGAACAATGTGTTTGTTTTTTAATGGTTAAAGTGTTGAGTAGTTGAATGAAATTCAATCAGTCTGTGTGGATTAACAAACATCAACGGTGTGTTTTCTTGATGATGTTTGTGCTATGGGAATTGTGTTGCAGTTTGGTCACTTCTTTGCATTGGTAATTTAGTATGTTGGAGTTTTGTATGTATGTATGTATGTATGTATGTATGTATGTGTGCATACTTATGAATCGTGTGTTTGTGCACTAGCCTCTGATATAAATTTGGTTGTTACAAATTACATTTCGTTATGTTTGTTGTTAACTCGTAGGCTCCCACATGCTTAAACTAGTTTAAGTATCATTAAGCAGTGCCTGTATCTTACTACAAGCACCCTTAATTAGTTATTCGATCGCATAGATCCGTTTCTATCGTAATCTCTTGTTCCATCTGTTACCGAAACAATTGTGTCACTTTATTTAACCTATTAGTACTATATTTACACATATGAATTAGTTTTATTCAGAGTCATGTTGACTCATTCTATTATCACAATACAATAGTGATTTTTGATCGGTGACTATCTACATGAAGTGAACTGAGTAGTAGGTTCTCACTAAACGGAGCCATAAATTTCACTGAAATGCTTATCGATGATATGTGAATTATCCAATTAGGATAACGCACCAAATTATTGTATCAATAAAATAAGCCTATAAATTCAGTTCATGTTTTACATGAAAATTCTTCATCATAGACTACAACATTTTAGAATCCTATTTAATTCACTATATTGTTAAATAATATCCAAAGTTATGGTCTTTTCTAAACAAGATAATATTTACATGTAGTGTATTCATTCATTAATTGGTTCATTTTTTTCATTTATAAAAATGATGAATCATTTGCATGCTTAACTGTTCAATGCCAAACAGTCCAATTATCTAAGTAATTTTTTTTTGTTGTATTCCTACCATATAAACTCTTATGCTTATTATTTATTGCATTAAATTGATTCTATTCTATTTTGTGTTAAAGTTATTTTTTTCGTCGAAATCCCTACATAAATATGACCTACTCAATCAATGTTGTTGTTGTTGTTGTGACATTTTGTATGTTTCACATGCAAGAGACTGTTTAGTTTTGTTTAAATTAATAATTCATTAATTTATCTAAATAGTATTTTGTAAATTCTTAACAACAATGTTTGAAATTTAGTTATGTGGATGCTATCAGTTTTATGCATTTTATGACGATACTCAGTTGCCTTCTAGTTGTTATTGTTTCACTAATCAACCATATGAATACTTATTATTACTATCAAACTCTGCGGTTTGTAAAAAAACGTATACTTTAGTATGTGAGTCAGTCAACCAGCAACAACATGGAACTTGATACGTACGAACATCGGTCCAAGTTGCCATACCACGTTAGTACAGAGAAATGGAATTGCCAATTCCAATCCCATAGTGATAAACGTGGTTGCAGTATAAGCGATAATGGAAAAGATTAGGGATCGGTCATGAGGAATTCGGAAGATTAGAATTTCAGCGAACACAAAGAATGTATACATCTACACCATCGCAAACGATTTTGAGCTATGTCATTCAATATCTCTGACCATCGGTGATGATTGTCTCGCGGAGCACACTTCGCACATTTTACTTTTTTGATATGAACTATGAAGTTTTACATTGATAATTTCAATTTTTTATATGATTCTTTCACCAACATAGTTTATTGATTTCACCATTCTTTATTGTTTGATTTGTTTGTAACATATTACTCATATTTGATGGCTGGCTGAGTGAGTGCATATGTGTTTTGTTTGTATTTGTGCATGAGGAGACATAATATCCATGTCTGACTTATTTTCGATCATCATTCATTGTCTATTCTAACCTAGTTATAGTATGCATCATATGATATTCTATGCTTTTCTTTGTTTATTATAAAACACACTGTAAATATTCCTTTTTCCATATATATCTGTATACATATTTATTTAGTGCTTGCTCTCAACAAGCTGAGCAAGTTGATGGAAGCCTTGTGATGCAATCACAAAATTGGTAAACATCATAGTATACATAATCATATATATATTGTAATTTAGTAAAAGTGAATTATTATGGCAAACTATCAGTGACCAAAATAGTAAAACAACAGCATGGCAAATGATATATGTGGATATTCTATCTAAATCATCATTGGGTTTCCTTTCAAAAGATTATAAGGTGTGCAATTCTTTGTATAAATTAATTTTAATTTTATTTTATCATAGTGTGTATATAAGCATACATTTTATTTTTTTAAGGCTATGTAATCCAGTCAACCGTAGGCAGCATAGAACCTGGAATAAATATTCATGTAATATTATGTGATATTATGGTTTTTATTTCCTCATACAATTGTCATTATTCGTCTAGTAATATTATTATTATTATTATAATTACTATATTCAACTAGACACTTTAAATCTGTCATTTTACCTTGTATACAATGTTTATCGTTTATTGTCTACTAGTAACTATTCACTTGTCTACTTAGCTACTGAATTCTTGTTTGTTTTATGATTTAATAATGTGTATGCTGAGAGAATTGTGCTTGGGTTATGTTTGTCAAATTATTTATATCATCTCTTTGTGGCCTGACATAACTTGAACGTATACACATTAGCATTTAATCTGTTTACTTATTTTTAAATAATCTAACATCTATGTTTATGGTTATTCCTAATATATATATATATATATATATATATATCATTCATTTCAATGTGTTTTCATCTTTTGACAAAATTCCTTACTCTAATTGATAGTTCTATTTTTTTTCCGCTTTGATGATTTATTTCCATTTCACCACTTCCTATTTTAGATCATGCACTAAAAAATTTGTAAATGGACGAAAAGAATCATTATTGTGGTAAGCCTAAACTGCATTCCAACTAACCAGATAAATAGTAAAACGAAAAAAAAACACGCCCATTCTGTCACACAAAATAAGCCCACTATTAAATTATACAAAAAATTTTTACACAAGATTTTGTGGTTAACTATTAGTTTTCCTTTCATTTTTGTTTTTTCGTTTCAAAATGAGTAAATCGTATATCATAATTATACAGAAACTAAAATCATCATTTGTTTTGCTTATATTAGTTAAACTTAATACTGGCCATTTTATTTTGGAATTTGCATTTTCATTTATAAATTGCATTATAAGGTGTGTTAGCTAGTAGCTAGTGCTTTGTGTATGTTTTGCTTTTTTTTTTTGAAAAAAAACATTAAACTACGTAATAAATTAGAGGTTAATGGTGCACCATACTGTCAAGTCTAATGGCTAACGTGTAAACTTTCTCGAAATCATTAGCATATAGTTAGAAATTAGTATTGGAATTTAGAGTGAAGATTAGTGTGTTCATCACTACTTTACCTCATTTATATAGCTAAAATTCATATCTAACAAAAATAAGTTAGTTATTGAATGTTTTCTGCTAACTGATTAGTTTAACAAGTTTGGTTTTATCACAACGTGCTTTTCGCTTCTTAGTCAGTCCTATTGTAGTAGTACATGAAATAGTTTGTTTGATTGTAAATATGAGATGTTTTTCTCATATTTTCACTATTAAGTATGGTGGTTACTTTGTAGTCTGTTTTTCACTTAAACAGTATCCTTTTCCTTTGCAGTTTTTAACTCGACAAATAGGTAGGATCCAGCTTGTTCATTCTGCACTTGAGGAACCTTAAACATTTGCCCTATGTTCAAGTTAGGGAATTTTCCTGATAAACTACTACTAAGTAATAAATACTTGGAAAATAGTAACCAAAATTCAGTAGTTGATTTTCTTTCATTTGTAATTTCTTCTCAGTGCCCAATCATATTGTATTTTATTCATGAATCTAAAAATTCATTGGAAGGTCAATCATTGTTAGGTGTATTTATCAGAATTCAGGGATTAGTTATCTATTGTTAACAAACTCATTGATTAAGGTGGGTGATCAGGTTGTATTATCCGTTTGTTGAAGATGAACATTGAATAAATCCAAGTGTTTTAAAGTAGATTTTCAATAGTTACTGATAAATAAATGCTTAAGGATAATGATTAAACAACTGTTGTTCAGATTTCTACTAATCTGTCCACATTTTTCAATCACTATTATCAATGTTATATCATTTCATTAAAAGTTATAATTTAATTTAAGTTTTACAAATAGACCAAATTGTATTCTTTTATTTGTAGTGAAATTTTCTCATGTAATCAATCTCATCTATACATAAATCCATACTAACTACATTGCCAACTCACTATGGGTGATTAAGTCTTGAACAATTATTGATTTACTTATTTCCCTAAATGCTAAACGCTAATCAATTATATTTTTTCTTTGGATATTTTTCTGCTTAAAATTTCGTGTTGCTTTTCGTTAGATATTATTTTTCACAGCAGATAGCTATTTATTCTGTTTTGTTGTTTGCTTTAATTATGGTTGCTGTGTAGTGAATTTATTGATATATTTCTTTTTTTTTTGCAAAGTATAGTGAAATTTCATTTTATGTTATACACTTTGCTTTGATTTATTCTGTTAATATAATGAACTATCATCTCAATAGGAATGTTCATTTGATCGAATTTGCAGCCGTTAAACTTGTTTTTTTTTGCAAAGAAACAATCATCTGTTGTTGTAGTGTATATTATGAAAGTGAAATTTCAGTGGACAGTTAATAATAAGTGCGTTTAGTTTCGAAGTCAGAAATTAGTATGAAGCTTTATTATTGTTTCTAGTTGATTCAATTCAATTCATTGGTCCCCTTATGTATAATCGCCTATTTTCATTTCATTTTATTTATTTTTAACACATGATTGTGGTATTATTTTTAAGCTGATAATGTTTGAGTCATTTTTTGGAACTTGAATAACAAAAAACAAACGAGTTCGAACTGTGAATTCGATGAATTTATTTGCACACTTTCAAGTGGATATTTACTGTTCGAATAAGAGAATACTATTTTTTTTTACAAAAAATACATTATTCTAGAGTAGACTGATGAAAGTGAATTAAGAATAGATGCAACGAAATAGTAAGTCGAATGTTTACTAAAGCGTTTATTCACCTAATAATCTATGTTTAACATTTGCAAAATGTTAGTGACTCTCTTGATTGTGATATGTTGCATCAAAACTTTCATATTCCAATATTAGTTGAAAAACAACAACATCTTTAGTTTAGTATTGAAGTACAAAGAAAAAGAAAGCTCTAATTCATTTAAATTATATTAAGCAAATTATTCCATTTTTTTTTTAAAAAAAATCATTATATATTTTTTAATAATTTCTACCATTGATATGTTTATGCTGATTTTTCTAGTGAAAATGAAAAATTATGGTCGTCCGATTATTTATTTCATGCACAAAATAATTTATTGTCTTCTTCATCATCATGGAAAACAATTACTCTCTCATTGATTGATTCCAATGAACCAATTCTAACTGATTATAAGGTCAATACTTTGCATTTATTTATTCATTATTTCTATGTAAACATTTTTTTTCCAATATTATTTTTTAATTTGTTTCGGAAGTTTTCTATGTTTAAGAATAGTAATATAAATTTTTCAATATGCCCATAGTAGTTGTTCATTGGATTTTAATCTTTCAGGTGAAAATTTCGCTGAACTTTATTTCAATTTAACCCTGTAGAATCAATGTATTATGTGACAATTAATAGATTTCTCTTCTAAGATGTAATTTTGAATCGATCATTGTTAGACCACCATTAGGAACCTGGACTCAACTACGAGTGACTCTCGCGTGAATCGATTCCCGCGTCCTATACTAGAATGAATTGACTCTTCAGTGCTTCCAGGTTTTTAATGGCTGTCTAAAAATGGTTGATTCGTAATTTTAATGAAACTCAATAATCTCCATAATAAAAAATCTCATAGAATAGCCTTTTTTAAAGGCTGTTTAGAATTCTTTAAAATCATGAATACTTTGTTAGTCGTTTCATAGTTTTTTTTTTCGCGTTTATATTATAAAACACAATCTTTGTATTTCTCGTCATGATTTGCAAGTTGTTGTTTACTGTATTACAATTTATTTTACTTTTTGTGCTATACTAACTAAATCAGTGTTATTTTTCATGGCATAATACTTTAGTTCAAAAGATATCTCTAGTTAAAAACTGTTAGTTTATATGTTTCAACCTCCTTTTTTGTTGTTTAAGTATAATCATTCTAGAAGGCTCATTGTATAAAAGTGATTTATTTCCATTTTTCTGTTAAAATTCTCATTCTGTTCTAGTGAATAAGTTGACTTGTGTAATTTATCTTAGTGGTGGTTATCTGTTAATTTTATGCACGTTGAAAAGTGAATTGGTTGAATCCTTTCTTCTCTATGATTCATTATTTTTTTGTTCAAACCTTGACAATTTTGTTTGATTGAAAGTTTTTTTTTGATTTTAGAGTCTTTACTGAAAAGTACTAATTCAACATATAAGGTACCATTTAATTACAATAATTGAATAATATTCATACTAGTAATGATTATAATAATTGTAAATCAAATTAATTTAGTTTTACTGATTAGATTTTACTGATACAACTGTTCACATTAACTTTTGGTGTACAATACAAATCTATTTTCAACATTTCTTATCCAGATATTAATGACCATAATTCGATATTTGGATGAATTCACTTGGAACATATATTGAAATGTGATTTTTTTTCCTAGTGGAAATTTGAAATTGTTTACTTGACTGGTATCTCGTTTAACTATTATATTACAGTTTGATTTGTTGCCTGAGAATACTGGAGTTATAATACTTCAATGTATTTTAATTGAATTGAGTTGAGTGTGTGTGCCTATAAACACTGCTTCTACTTCTACTGCTACTACTTTACCAAACTTCTTTAATATTTCCCATCTTCAAAAATTTATTTCTTGTTAAGAATATGCATAATTTTCTATTATATCATTCTTTTAAAAAATTATATACTTTGTTCATTTAAGTGCTTGTACAAAGCATAGTACTTCACAAAATCGTCAAACTTCGGTTACCTGTCAGAATACAGAGTTATGGTCATCAGGTTTACCCGCTGCATTAACTAGCAAATGGTCTACAGCTTGGATTGAAATGCAAGATTCGACAATATCTCCTGATTCAAGTTACAAGGTGTGTTGTATTTGTGTGTGTGTAAATTGTTCAGTTACTTAGTACGGTAATGGTTATTGTCAATAATAATATTAATCATAATAAAGCATTTATTGTCACATTATTAATTCGCTAACGTAAACAGTTAATATAATTTTAAATGATTTATTAATTAGGATATGTTTCTGTACTCTCTTATAAACTTACTTATTCGAAGTGTGATCATAATTGTCAATACAGTATCTGTTGACTGTTAGTCTGACTTAATGTATTTCATTAACTTTTGATGCATTTTCTTGAGTTTCCAAAAATCCAGTACTTGTTACACTTGCTTTGTTCATTCACTGTATGTAAACAAATAGTTGAGATAATAGAACTCCTTTTCTTTTTAAAAAAATTCTACTTATAACTACTTTGTACCAACTTGCCTACTGTTTATTCCTTATTGTCAGTATAATTATTAAATATAAATTTAGGTAATACATAAAGCACAGTACTTCATACCATCGTCAAATTTCAGCAACATATCAGAATGCAAAATTATATTCGTTAAAATTATTGAATGGTATTACTGAACAGTGGTCAACACTGTGACCTGATTTTAAAGAGTTTTCATTTACACCTGATCCAAGTTACAAAGTGTTTGTTTGTGTGAAAATTCTTACTTAGCACTTGTCAAGTGTATACTCCCTTTAATTTTAAAGCTGTTTTTAACATTATCTTCATTTAAGTTAAAAAAGGACTCCCTTATTAATGAATAATGAAGCATAATAGCAACGTAACGACTCTCTGAAAACCGTCATTCATCTACTGATCATTTAATCACTATCCTGTTTGTTTGTTGACAAATTTCGTGTGGTTTATATATTCGCTTGTTTCTGTTTGTACTGCTTATTCTTTCTTTTTCTCTTAATTTTATATCTTTTAACTTAGTTTTTCCCTTCTTTTAGTCTATGAGATAACTGTTGAAAAGTAACCTGCATTTGCATTTTTCTCTCTTTTTTGTAAAGTTCTTGTGTTAAACAAACTATTTATGAACGTGGCGAATCTGCTGTTATATGCAAAAACCATGATTTATGGTCGTCAGAGGCAAATACTAATGCAGGTGTATCTCATTCGAACACATGGTCTATTGTTAAAATTGATTTACAACAAAATCAACAACATGATTCCATTAGCTTGACAGATTCAAGTTACAAGGTGTGTGTGTGTGTTTGAACGCACACAATAGTTTCATTTCTACAGCTTGTTTCTTTAGTGCAATAAATGAGCTGACTTACCTTTCATGTTAGTATTATGTAAACTGATTTTTCATCTTACATACTAAAATATAGCTAACTTCATTACAAATTTAAGATAATCACATCCATCATTGATCATTCCTAAAATAAAATATAATCAATATTATTTCACAGTATGTGTTATGTAAGTACGTATTGAAATGTTTTCTTGTTATTTCTTATACCTGCACATTTTTCATGTTAAATTCTCTTTTTTAATTGTGAGAAATATTCCAGTAAGTAAGCCGTCGTAATTTGTCTACTTCATTCGTTAAGTAATCTTTTTTGATTACAACATTTATTCATATATGGTAAGCGCATCAACTATACTGATGAAAGTTTACTGTTTGTCATTTTTCTTCAATCCGTGTCTCTAAATGGTAAACACTTTTTTTGCATATGATTTCATTAGTTTTGTTGTTTCTCTCTCGAAAAAAAAATCACATGTATATTAGATGTTTCAAGACGTTTGGTGAATAGTGCCACGAATCTGTGTGAAAGTCGAAAATCCTATGCTTTACATGTTATAGTATAACTTTTTATATTGTTCATTTGTAGTTTATAAAGTCTACAGTTTTTTCATATTTAAGTGGATTACTTTTTTCAATCATTTTTAACTGAGTTTGTATGATATTTCATTCAGTATTTTCTTTATCAGGTACACATCTATTTTCTGTTTTTTCCTATGTATGTAGACAAAATGGGATCGCTTGTATGCGTGAGTATATGTATGAGCGTATGTATTTGCACTTATTATTTCTTCATCTTATTTTATCAAATGCTTACTCATTCAATCTCATTCTTCTTTGGACTTAATAAGCAATTTAATGCGTATGATCTTCATAGTGTTTCTTTTAAAATAAATTTATGATTTATTTACTTTACAAGATCATGTATCAAGCACAGTACCCAAGAATTCGGTAAATCGTCAGTCATTTGCGAAAATGTTGATTTATGGTCATCAAAATATTCATCGAACAATCCTATATCGAATGATGTATTATGGTCTGTTGCGAAAATTGATTTACCCACCTCATCCAAATCATCGGACATAAGTTATAAAGTGTGTACTTAATTTGTGTCATTTTCATTTCATTACAATTAATAGGAATAGCAGAAGTGTTGGAATTAAAATTTTAATCAAATATATATATATATATATATATTTGTTGATAATTTGTAGAATTCATTTATGTTTTGCGGAACTACTGAAAGAGTTCGTCGTTTTTCCTTACACTTTTTTTTACTGAGAATATACTTAGTTTGTAGCACTTAAAAATAATTATAGGGATACTTCATGTTGCATTCAATTTCATTATTTATTATTGAAATCATAAATCAATCATTGTTAGGCCACCATTAGAAACCTGGAAGCACTGGAAAGCTGTTTCGTCTTGACATGGGACTCATCAGCAGTGCGCATCCATGACTTCCACTTCTCTTAATAGTTGAACTCAGGACCTTTGGTCTCGAGGACGAACGCCAAACCTCTGAACCACTGGGCCGGCATCCACCGGTGTTAATGTCTAACTATGACCAATCTAAGGTTTTACGCAACCTCACCTCCAATAATGATTGATTTATGATTTCGATAATAAATCACAATGAACAATTCCCTTTGTTGTTTATGTATGTCTTATAATTCTTCAAAAAGCAAATAAGACTAGTAAATAAAAATTTTTATCACTTGTAAATGTTCAAATCTCATAATTGAACTTCTCATAGATAACAATCCAATTAGTTCTATGATGTATCTCGGTTGTAGTGGTCAAACAGTTTGATTAATCTTCACGCATACGTATACTGATGGTTTTCAAGTTTCATTATATATTATCATTGTTATTATCTTTATTATTTTGGATTAATAATCGGTTAGCTGTGTTTGTGGTATAGTTTTGTTCTCTAAACTGAATGTTTTGGTTGTGGAGCTTTCATTGTTCTTCATCAGCACAAACTTCAGGTAGGATTGAAGTATTCGAATTTCTCCACTTATAACTCGTAGCTTGTTCTGTTGACCTTGATCTCTATTGGCTGTTATTGATCTTATACCTGTTATTATATACAT